TTCCAACTACCCACGTAAACAAAGCAGACTGTCTAAACAAAAAAGGCCCTAAACTGGTTGGTACTGTAGGGCGAATCGAAAGAATAATGGTCTCATTATATTACAATGCAACTGATTACCCTATGCCTCCAATATATCATTGGACTCTGCTGCTAGATAAATATAGTTTATAAATCATGTAGTTTCAAGAAAAATTCAGTCAAGTTCAAAATAAACAGATAAAAGCACAGATAGCTCTTCAAATCAATGTTCAGTCCTGCAGTCAGGCAGAGACTTTCTCTTTTATTGACTTCTTTGAAGGGCCACTACTTTTGGGGAGCTGTTATTTTCNAGAAGTGGTAAAAAAGAAGAGAAAAAATAAGGACTTCTCAGTTGCAGCAAAGATGAAATAACATCCCGATGATCAATTAATGAGGTGGAATTTTGACCCTCTTTTGATCATTGAGTCACAGGAAGCCATGAAATGGAATTTTGAGGTTATGACATGTACATGTATGGTGAAATGTTTGCAAGACAGACTCAATACAAAGTGCAACTGGGGATCATAGAAGAAATTAAGATGGCAAACCGTCCTTTCCTCACCCTTGTTTCCACCCATTTTCACCCACTTAAATTATTACCCCAGTAATGCAGGATATGCAGAGTAAATAAATCACTAAATTGAAAATAACAGCAAGAGACAAAAACTCAATTTCAAATATCTACGTGTAGACCAATTTGTGAACAGAGTTATTGCAACCCATCTTTCTCATTTCCTAAGGTCAAGATATATACAGATTCGTGATAAACTACACGGTTCTATTTGACCTACAGTAGATACAATCATCAATGGTCAGGAATAACTACCTGTTCCATAAGTTTTTGTGCCAGACCCAACCTCCTGTGAGAACGTTTAACGGCCTGCAAGGTAAATAAAAATAGTAACAATTTAAATTAGCACATTGATACCAGCCTTGCTTGTTGTATCTGCATTTTTCTTTCAATTTCGCTTTAGAACCCAAAATTCAAAATGTACTGTCAATAATGGTGTGTGAAGAAAATTGCATCCAGTGGCCATGGGGATTGTGGATTTTGCAGTCGGGCTCATGTATTGTGTCTTTCACTTGCTGGACAGGTGAGTGAAGTTTCTTGGGAAAATATTTGAGGAAATTATCAAATTACAGATTGAAGAATGTTTGGGGACTGGTGAGTATGACTTTCAGGCTAGTACAATACAGGAAAACTTGCATTTAAAAGGCAAGCCTGCAAAATTGTGGTGTCTTTGCACTCTGAAATTATAGGACTTACCTGTAACACAACTTAAAATTGTACAAATTAGTTTCTGGATTATGTCACCAGAGACACACTTATCACACTATGCACACCATCAATTTAGATGCATACAACAGTCATTCATGTCACATTTCAGTGGTGCTTTGACAGCAGAATCTATTCTGTGTTTCTATTACTTTACAAAGACCACTTTGTCATGATGGCCACTTTATGCTACTTTCTTTAATAAGAAACTCCTGAGTTTCGTGGCTATCCTATCAAAATTATCCAGCATTCCTTTCCTTAGCAATGGGTACATTGCACACCTACCATGTGGGGCAGCTCCTCAAAGACCCCACTCCCCACTTCAGTGTGAAATAAATGGTTAAATCCAGTTAAAAAGATTTTTTTGTTGAGGAAGAGGTTGGACCAATGGAGGAGGAGGATCAAAACACCCCAATCACAGCCAACCTTTATGATATAAAGATGGCGCCTCGTAATCAGTCAACCTTTATCGCCTGAAGAAGACTAGCAGTAAGCAGTCGAAATGTCATGTTTCTACATGTACATCTCAAGTGACTACATTTACATTGCAAGACAAACAATACTACAGTTTACTAAAGATTTTTTTTTCTTTTTTTTTTTTAATGTGACTTAATATTTTCGTACCAAGGAGGTGATATGTCCATGAACAGCTTCATCGGGTTCTTCTTCCCTAGAACACAAGGAAAACTAATAATCAGATATGTGTTCATGAAGTAAATTGTGGTTCAGAATTACCTTTAGTACAATTTGGTATTTCCCTTACATGTAGTTTGTTTCATACACAGTACTGCTGTAGTATTACATTATAATACTGTACATGTATGTGACCATGGATACACCAGAGAACATCAATTGGAAATCACCGAGTTGTACCAAAGGTAAATTTGAACTAAAAAAATTTTAGAGTAAATAAGAATTCATTATAAATTTAAGGTTTTTCTTACATTTTTGCCAGTACATATCCCACAATCTTTCCTTTCTCATCTTCTGCAACATACGACAACTGGGAAGGGAACAAAAAAAAAAAACAAAAAAAAGTTTACATGTACTGCCAGGATAAAACCAGTTGATCAAACCAGCTACAGTGGAATCTCGATTTTTTGAACCTCTGGGGGAAATGAAAATTGGGCTGAAAACTTTTGGTAGTTTGAGAAATAGGGGTTAAAATTAAAGCATTTGACTGAGGGGAGAGAAGCAACTTTTGAGTTATCAGGTTTGAAAAATCAAGGGTTCCAGAAATAAGGATCACACAGTCTGTAAGTACAAGATGACAGTCAACACTACTAATAATCAATTTATACTTGACTACTCCTCCTCTACATGAAAATGTTTACGAATGTGCCATACACAGGCCAGACAAATTTACTAAAAAAGGAACCTTTCAATTCGCAAAAACTGTGCAATTGACGTCAAATA